AAGGGGGGTAGTCTTATACTGCGAGTATAGCCCAAAACCTATGTTTTAACTGGAAAATTAGGGGTTGTCTTATACACCCAGTCACCTTATACGCCGGAAAATACGGTATATATATATATATATATATATATATAATCACGGCCTTTTCAAAGATTTGCATGCAGCACTAGCGTGATTGCGATATAACGCCGTGGAAATTTATCAGGACTCAGTTACTTGTTATTATTTGTTGCAATTTATTTAATTAATTTATCTAATATATATACACACACACATATATATATATTTAAACGTACTGATAGTGCAGCATGACACCATGGGGTTTATTTACTAAAGCTGGAGAGTCCAAAATCAGACTCCCTTCTGCATAGAAACCAATCAGCTTCTAACCTCAGCTTGTTCAATGAAGCTTTGGCAATGAAACCTGGAAGCTGATTGGTTTCTATGCAGAAGGGAGTCTGATTTTGGACTCTCCAGCTTTAGTAAATAAACCCCCATGGGTTTTGAAGTGCTGGATGAGGTTTATTGAGGACATTTTTCTCATTTGAGCAAGTCATGATAATGTTTATCGATTTTTTTTTTAATGATATTTTCCCTGAAATAATATTTAACCCTGAGATCTCATCAAGCAGCATAACTTCTTTAGATGGCTTAATTACCAACACCCAGGGTACACTTGTGACATCATTATACACTAAACCCACAGACAGGAGCACACTGCTGCGTATCCTGTGCATCTTCGTAAAAACATGCCCATTTCCCAGTTTATGTGGGTTGAATGCATATGTTCTGACACTGATGACGAAAACTGACAACTTAAAAAAATGTACCAGAAATTGTTGGAACGGGCCCATAGTCACAGGTTCAATTTAAAAGCGCTGTTGCAATTTAAATGACAATTGCATGGTCATGCTACACTGTACCCATATAAAATTTGAATCATTTTTTTCACACAAATAGAGATTTCTTTTGGTGGTATTTAATCACCACTGGGTTTTTTATTTTTTTTTCACTATAAATGAAAAAAGACCTAAAATTTTGAAAAAGAAAATGTGTTTTTCTTTGTCTCTGTTATAACATTTTGCAAATAAATAACCTTTTTACACAAATGTAGGCCAAAATGTATTTTGCTACATGTCTTTGGTGAAAATAACCCAAATCAATGTTTATTATTTAGTTGGTAGGAAAGTTACAGACTCCACAAACTATGGTATATACCTAAAAATTGATAAATCTTGATGTACTGATGGCTGATCTAATTTCTTGAGGCCCAAAAATGCCAGGACAGTACAAATACCCCCAAAATGACCGTTTTTTGGAAAGTAGACAGACCAAGGTATTTTGTAAGAGGCATGGTGTGTTTTTTGAAGTTGTTATTTTTTGTCATAATTTTGTGGACAATTAAGAAATGAAAAAAAAAATCACAATGCAGTACAGTGTCATCATATAACTAATGTGGCAGTGATTAGGGACACTGACTGGCAACAGTTTGTAAATGTTATTTTTTTTTAATTTTTAATACATTTGTATTACTTTTTTTTTTTACTCCTGTGACCAGAGCAATACAATGTTACCATAGTAACATTTTTACTACTCTGAGCAAGTGATCAGGATTTTTTTTTTGTACACATTATGATTGCTTATACCAACAAATTACAATTGGTATATACCAACAAATTACATTGGTATAAGCAAGCATTTTTTGCTGAATTAAACTGATTAATTCAGTAGTTTTTGTTGTGATCAGCTGTGATTATCCATAGCTGATCACGTACAACAGATGGGCTATGATCACTGTGACCAATCACAGTGCACATTAAAGTTGTAAGCAATGAATTGCATGAAAGGAAGCCATTCATTGTTTACAACTGTCATGTGATCTGTTGTGATTGGTCATGTGACACTGGCAGTGGGCCAGTGTAGTGATCTGTCATTGTCCATGTCCAGTGGACACAGCCGGTGACAGATCATGCCGAAGTGTGGCCTGATCCTGGGAGGACGTCCCAGGATAATAGGGTTCCCACTTGGCCATCAATAGGCTGGGCGGGAAGAAGTTAATTGTGAGTCTGAGATGATTAAATTGGCCAAAATTGCAACCTCTACATTTTAGAGGCTGATAGCTCTCTAGTACCTGACCTCAGGGTGATGCCCTTGATCGCACACAAACACAAGACTTTAAGAGGCCATTTTGTACATGACAGATTTGCATAAACTGGTGGCAGTACACTTTAGTGCATGTAAATATCAAATCCACGAATTGAATTGAAGGGCACGGTGAATGAACACATTAAACAACCCGCCGGGGGAGGGGACCATGATCGCCTTCTCCTGTGCCATGAGGCCTATTGGATTTACACTCTTGGCACATTGCAGCCAGGTGGTCTCAACACCAATCTATCATTAACATGCTTTCATGGAGACAGATGCTGTGTTGCTCTTGGCTAATACACGATTGACATGTGGCATTTTGAGACCTCTGGTTCTCTATGCTATCTGCTGCATCTGCTGCATTTTTGACCACTGCAATATTGGACAGCTCTGTTGTGCTCTTTGTAGTATTGATTGATTGTCCCACGGGGGTTGCAGGTTTTTCCTTAAGTGTTGTAGCTTCCCTGTAACATGGTCATGATGACAGGTGAATAGGTTCCATTGGCCCTGTTCTATTCCCCCCCCCCTTTGTAGATTAGGCTGTATATACTTTTTTCTGTTTTATCCATTTTTCACTTCTGATATTTTAATTTCCTTTTCTCTCTGTCTTTATGTCCTATATATTCCTTATGTCCTATATATTTCTTCCCTCTTCCTCTAGGATACTCTTTCCCCTTTCCTTTCTTTTCCCCTTTTTTTGTCATAATTATATTTTTATATCATTTTAGTTATTTTTTCAGTTTTTCATACTAATTTCATTTGGTTACATTTGTTCTTGTTCTTCTGTTTCTGTTTTTTTTTTCTCTCTCTTTAAATCATGTTGTTATCTGCATTTGCTTTTTTCTTCTTTGCTTCTTCATGATGCACACTTTTTTCCCCCGCCCACTGGCCCATCTGTTTTCAGCTGGGCGGCGGGGTGTCCTGATGTCATTGGTTACCATGGTTGCTTCTCCAGCTGGCCAGTGTCCTCTCCTTACCTAGTGAGAGCCGACTGCACTAGGCATGCGCTGCCGGCAGGGTGACAGCTGGTTGGGCAGGAGGTCCAGTTGCCTAGCAACAGCAAAGCTGGACTCTGCTGGCCACAGATAATGATCGGGCACATCTGGTAAAAGTGCCTTATCTATTCTCTAAACCTGCCACCTTTACCTATAGGCTTACATGAGGAGATGAGACCTGCCAGGATTAGTAATTGATGTTTGAATGTTGATCCTGTGAGGGGCATGCTATACATATATTATGACAGTATTTACTCTGTATTGATGTTTATATATTATGGTGTTTAAATAGAGGATAGCACTAGTTTAGTGTTACTATATGCACATTTTCACATGCCTGACGAAGGGGCTCTGCGCAGCTCTGAAATGTTGTACCTTCTCTTTGTGATGTGATCATTCTTCAATAAAAATAGCCTTTTGGATGATATTGGTGGTCCGTGGCGTGCTGGCAAATATTTAAACAAAATTGATCTTTGATGGTTCTAGTTTCCAGCTGGATTTTGCTGCAGCAACCTCTTTCTTTTAGTCCGATCGAGGAACATGTGTGATGGGAATACTGACAAGTTTTTTCAAACTGTCCCAAAAGTAATGGACGGTTTGCTGATTGGAGCCCCCCACGGTGATAAAACTCAATGGCCCAGCAGCAAAAAATTTTTGAAAATGAAGTTGGTAGCTTTATATTTGTTTTTCAAAGTACTGTATATACTTTGCAATAGATTTTAGATATAATGTCTCTAATAATTCCAGCTCACAATTATGGTCTATCCCCGCTACACCAATCAATCATGACCTTATGAAAAAATTAAATAATAAAGCCATTTTCTTTTGGAAAATCAACAATATTAGGATGCTGCTATATGTAAGCCAATGAATAATGTAAAGTGAACTATATTATTACACATGCATTTTATTTGATGCCACAATAGGGTTTTGCTGGAGCTGTCCTTAAGAATTGTAATGTCCTATGCAACCACATTCAACTTTAAGGCACCCCTAAGCATGTAGTTTGAAGGATTTTTGTATTTCAATGTTGCCCTTTAAGCCACCAAAAGAGACCCTCTTCCCACTGAATGATAATTTTTTCTTTCTTTATTGGTACATGTCCCACTACTCAGCTCCTCATGCCCTTTGTTTCACAATCCCTTGCCTATTAGCCCAGACCATGTCCACAAATTAATTCTAAGATTTGGCTCCCTTTGAATTCAATGGAGTTCAGAATTGGGATTCAAACTTCAGTCATGTTAAGCAAACCTGAGTCAAACAAAGCCAAAATACAAATAAATTCTCCAGACCTTTTACAAGCATACACAAAATGTATTTGTGCTATTGCAAAACTCTGATCACCCCCAGAGTAGTACAGTGTTACTATGATGACAGTATCTAAAAAAAAAAAAAGCAAAAAAATAAATATATATATATATATAAAACTTTTCTTTAGATTTTCTTTTTTACATACCGTCACCAGTCAGTGTACCTGATCACCACCACCCCAGTAATTTGATGATGCTTTATTGCTGTGGTGACAGTATGTAAAAAATAAAATGGTGAAAAAAAAAACAAATTTTATTTAATTTCTTTATTTTCAAAACTTTTACCCCCTTCCTGCTCAGGACAATTTCTAGCTTTCAGTGCTGTCACACTTTGAATGACAATTGCGCGGTCATGCAACACTGTACCCATATGAAATTTTTTATCATTTTTTTGTGACAGATAGAGCTTTATTTTGGTGGTATTTAATCACCTCTGGGTTTTCTATTTTTTCTTAAACAAACCAAAAACCACTGAAATTTTTGACACAAAAAAATGTTTTTTCTTAGTTTTTGTCATAAAATTTTGGAAATAAGTGAATTTTCTCCTTCACTGATGTGTACTAATGAGGCTGTAGTGGTGGGCACTGATAGGCTGCACTGATAGACACTGATAGGTGGCACTGATGAGGAGGCACTGGTAGGAGGCACTGATGGGCATTGACAGGCATCACTGATGGGCACTGAAAGGCAGCACTCATATATGGCACTGATAGGCGGCACTGATAGGTGGCACAGACTGGTACTGTTAGCTGTCACTGACTGGCACTGTCAGGCGGCACTGATAGGCAGCACTGATGGGCACTGATAGGCAGCACTGATGCACACTGAAAGGTGGCAATGACAGGCACTGATTGGCAACACTGATAGGTGGCACTGACTGGCATTGATAGGTGGCACTGACTGGCACTGATGGGTGACACTGAAAGGCAGCTCAGATGGGCACTGATATGTGGCATTGATGTGCACTGAAATGTGGCATTGATGGACACTGATAGGTGGTACTGCTGGGGCTACACAGATCATCAGGGCACACTGATCATCAGTGCTCTGATGATCAGTGTACATGTCCCCCTCCGAGGAATGCCGATTACCGGCTCTCCTCTCCTCTTGAGCTGTCAGCGTGACAGCTCGTGAGGAGAGAAATGCCGATAACCAGCATTTCCCTGTTTACATGTGATCAGCTGTGATTGGACGCAGCTGATCACATGACCGAGCCGACATCTTCAGCTCTTTCCTTTGATCGGTGATCCGCTGTGTCCGAGGGACACATAGCACCGCCGATTGCCGTGCTGCGCGCTCCTGGAGCCGCACATGCGTGATTAGAATGGGACGTTGTCATATGACGTCGTCCCAGAACGAGAGAACCACCGTGCGCCCGTCATTGTACTATATGGCGGGCGGTAGGTGGTTAAGGACCTCAAGAAATGGAATGGCCCATATATTAGGACTGATCAATTTTCAAATATACAGTTAGGTCCATATATATTTGAAAACAGGCACAATTTTAGATATTTTAAGGTATTTACCAAAACATATTCAAGCTATAGTTATATAATGGATAGGGTCTGAAAATGCACACTCTCGGGTTTAATTTGAGGGTATGTACATCCAAATTGGATGAAGGGTTTAGGAATTACAGCTCTTAAGAGTAGCCATCCTCCTTTTTCAAGGGACCAAAAGTAATTGGACAATTGAATCAAAAGCTGTTTCATGGCCAGGTGTGGGCTACTCCTTCATTATTTATTCATCAGTTAAGCAGGTGAAAGGTCTGGAGTTGATTCTAAGTGTGGTATTTGCATTTGGAATCTATTGCTGTGAACCTACATAATGCGTTCAAAGGAGCTGTCCATGCAAGTGAAACAGGCCATTGTAAGGCTTCAAAAACAAAACAAATCCATCATAGAGATAGCAGCAACATTAGGAGTGGACAAATCAACAGTTTGGTTCATTCTGTGGATAGAAGAATGCACTGGTGAGCTCAGCAACATAAAAGGGCATGGATGTCCATGGAAGACAACAATGGTGGATGATCGCAGGATCCCCTATATGGTAAAGAAAAAAACCCATTCACAACAACGGACAAGTGAAGGACACTCTCTGGTGGGCATATCATTGTCAAAGTCTACAATCAAGAGAAGACTTCACAAGAGCAAATACAGAGGGTTCACCATGAGGTGCAAACCAGTCATAAGCCTGAAGAATAGAAAAGCCAGATTAGACTTTGCCAAAAAAAAAATCTAAAAAGCCAGACCAGTTCTGGAAAAACATTCTTTGGATGGATGAAACTAAGATTAATCTGTACCAGAATGACTAGAAGAAAAAAGTGTGGAGAAGGCTTGGAATAGCTCATGATCCAAAGCACACAACAACATCTGTAAAACATGGTGGAGGCAGTGTTATGCCATGGGCATGCATGGCTTCCAGTGGCACTGGGTTATTGGTGTTTATTGATGATGTGACAGAAGACAGAAGCAGCCGGATGAATTCTGTAGTGTTTAGAGATATATCGACAGCCCAGATTCAGTCAAACGCAGCAAAGCTGATTGGATGGCGCTTCGCATTACAGATGGACAATGATCCAAAACACACTGCAAAAGCAACCCAGGAGCTTTTGAAGGAAAATAAGTGGAATATTCTGCAATAGCCGAGTCAATCACCTGATCTCAACCCAATTTAGCATGCATTTCACTTGCTGAAGGCAAAACTAAAGGCAGAAAGACCCACAAACAAAGAACAACTGAAGACAGCTGCAGTTAGAGCCTGGCAAAGCATTAGAAAGAAGGAAACCTAGTATTTGGTAATGTTCATGGGTTCCAGACTTCAGGCAGTCATTGCCAGTAAAGGATTCTCAACAAAATATAACAAATTAACATTTTATTTATGATTATATTCATTTGTTCAATTACAGTGGGGATCGGAAGTTTGGGCACCCCAGCTAAAAAATTGTATTAATGTTCATAAAGAAGCCAAGGAAAGATGGAAAAATCTCCAAAAGGCATCAAATTACAGATTAGACATTCTTATAATATGTCAACAAAAGTTAGATTTTATTTCCATCATTAACACTTTCAAAATAACAGAAAACAAAAAAATGGCGTCTGCAAAAGTTTGGGCATCCTGAAATTTTAGCATGCACCGCCCCCTTTGCAAAGCTGAGACCTGCCAGTGTCATGGATTGTTCTCAATCATCGTCTGGGAAGACCAGGTCATGTCAATCTCAAAGGTTTTAAATGCCCAGACTCATCTGATCTTGCCCCATCAATCAGCACCGTGGGTTCTTCTAAGCAGTTGTCTAGAAAACTGAAACTGAAAATAGTTGACGCTCACAAAGCTGGAGAAGGCTATAAGAAGATAGCAAAGCATTTTCAGATGTCAATATCCTCTGTTCGGAATGTAATCAAGAAATGGCAGGCATCAGGAACAGTGGAAGTTAAAGCAAGATCTGGAAGACCAAGAAAAATATCAGACAGAACAGCTCGCCGGATTGTGAGAAAAAACAATTCAAAACCCACGTTTGACTGCACGATCCCTCCAGAAAGATCTGGCAGACACTGGAGTTGTGGTACACTATTCCACTATAAAGAGATACTTGTACAAATATGGTCTTCATGGAAGAGTCATCAGAAGAAAACCTCTTCTACGTCCTCACCACAAAAATCATCGTTTGAACTTTGCAAATGAACATATAGACAAGCCTGATGCATTTTGGAAACAAGTTCTGTGGACCGATGAGGTTAAAATTGAACTTTTTGGCCGGAATGAGCAAAGGTACGTTTGGAGAAGAAGGGGCACAGAATTTAATGAAAAGAACCTCTGTCCAACTGTTAAGCATGGGGTTGGATCAATCATGCTTTGGGGTTGTGTTGCAGCCAGTGGCACAGGGAACATCTCACGAGTAGAAGGAAAAATGGATTCAATAAAATTTCAGCAAATTTTGGATGGTAACTTGATGCCATCTGTGAAAAAGCTGAAGTTAAAGAGAGCATGGCTTCTACAAATGGATAATGATCCTAAACACACCTTTTGGTTTTGCCATGGTCTTCACAATCTCCTGACCTCAATATAATTGAAAATCTATGGATAGACCTTAAAAGAGCAGTGTGTGACAGACAGCCCAGAAATCTCAAAGAACTGGAAGACTTTTGTAAGGAAGAATGGGCAAATATACCTCAAACAAGAACTGAAAGACTCTTGGCTGGCTACAAAAAGCGTTTACAAGCTGTGATACTTGCCAAAGGGGGCAGTACAAGATATTAACTCTGCAGGGTGCCCAAACTTTTGCAGATGCCATTTTTTCTGTTTTCTGTTATTTTGAAAGTGTAAATGATGGAAATATAATCTAACTTTTGTTGACATATAAGAATGTCTAATCTGTAATTTGATGCCTTTTGGAGATTTTTCCATCTTTCCTTGGCTTCTTTATGCACATTAATACAAATTTTTAGCTGGGGTGCCCAAACTTTCGATCCCCACTGTATATTTAAGCCCCTGAAATTGGAGGGGCTGTGTATAAAAATGGTTGCAGTTCCTAAAATATGTACTTGATATTTATGTTCAACCCCTGGAATTAAAGTTGAAAGTCTGCACTTCAAATTCATTTGGATTGTTTTGTTTTAACTTATTCTGGTGGCATACAGAGACAAAACTATGAAAATTGTGCCTGTGTCCAAATACAGTATACAGTATATGGACCTAACTATATATGGACCTAACTGTATATGCCATAGTTTGTAGACGCTATAACTTTTACACAAATTTAGAACACAATTAGTATACACTTCTTGGGATTTTTTTTTTATACCAAAGACATGTAGCAGAATACATGTTGTCCTAAATTTCTGAAGAAATTAGATTTTTTTAATTGGATATATTAATATGTTGTTTTTTATTTAGAACATTGCTATTGTTATTCTTTATTTAAAGCAACAAATTATATAAAAATAATACAAACAATTACATTCCTTAATACAAAAAAAATGCTCACTTATCCAAATATACATACAGTATATATAATTTTCTAATGTATATAATATGATTGTTCATTAGTGCATCCTAATTACATAATATTAGAAAAATAAGAAAAAATAAAAGATAAAGAAATTAAGTTATATATCCAGTGAGTCTGCTCTTTCCTTGTTTTAATGAAGAGCAAGGTGTAAAAAAATGCAGTCAGAGTTTAAATGATCTGGTTAGGGGGCGTGGCCAGGTGTATGGAGCGATAGCAGCACTTCTTCATTGCTCCCGGCCCGTATCTCCTCTGCGGGCTCTTCTCACTCTTTACCACCCTCCACATGGGCAAAAATCAGCACCGGACCCCCAGAGACCTGCGGCGGGGGGGGGGGGGGGGGGTATGGAAGAGATTGAAAATACTGCCGACAGCCTGTGTAACGCCTTACAATCCCATTAAGAGACCCTCAACTCCCACGCGGTCTTAATTCAACAGCTCATGTACCAACAAGATGACATTGAGAACAGGAACCGCCGTAATAATATAGGGAGCAGGGGCATACCAGGAACCGTTGAATCTAAAGATTAGGCGCAGCGGTTAACGTCATATTCAATCATATTCAATCAATTACTACAGCAAGCTAAAGACACCCCTATTGAGCTGGACCGCGTACATCGTGCGATGGGCCCCAGAAACCCTGATCCATCTTTCGTCCGTAATACCCTTTGCAGGGTCCACTACTTCAAGGTCAAGGACGCCATTATGTGTGCAGCTAGCAGGCAGGATACCATCCTATTCAATGAAGTGCCGGTGATGCTCCTCCCTGGCCTCTTCCGCCAGACTCTAGCCATGCGCAGGGCCCTGCATCATCTCACTCAGATGTTGCAAGAGAGGCATATTCGCTACCAGTGGCGATTCCCGTTTCAACTCAACGCCTTGCAGAATGGAAAATCAGCACAATTTTGTACTCCTGGGGACTTGCCCATGTTTCTTGGTGTGTTCGAGCTACCTCAAGTGTCCCTCCAGGACTGGCCCTTCCAGCTCCCGACCCCAGGTCTTCCATTTTCCTCATCTTGGCAGCGGTCCAATAGCAAGAAGAAGAAATGTTCCAGATCCT